GCCTGGCCTGCTGTCTTCATCCAGCTCCACACCTTGTTATCTTCATCAGAATCGAGTTTTGTCAGCAGTTTCTGTTTTTGTTTCAGATCTCCGGTTTCCACAGTGCTTTGTGTTATTTTTATAATTAAGAATCAGTTATTGGTTCACCCTCCTCCTTCCTGCCCTCCACCACAATTGTCTTCATGTCTTTTTCATGTGTCCAATTTGGAGACAGATTTAACTTTCATTTTATTCCTTTTTTTTTAATTTGCTGCTTCATGTCGTAAATGCCAAGCAGAAAATGTGCTCTAAACCTGTACTAATTTATATCCATCTCTTGACATTTAAAGGCATTACTGTTGCTAAATCCCCCACTATCAACATTCTGAAGGTTACGGTTAACCAGAAACTGGACTGGACTAACTATAGAACTACAGTGGCTACAGGAGCAGGTCAGAGGCTAGGAATCCTGCAGCAAAAAGCTCGTCTCCTGACTCCCAGAGTCTGTCTACTATCTACTATAAGGCACAATTCAGAAGTATGATGGAATATTCCAATCTTTCACTTTCTAAACAGTCAAATGTGTAACAGATACTCCGGTAAAATTCACAAAACGTGACATGTTGGAAACTCACAAATTGCAATAAGATATAACTTGAGAAATACTGCAGATTGTTGAAAGTGTTGACTAATAAGGATTCGATTCAGCATGAAAGTTAAGACAAAATGTTTTGCAAAAATATGCTTTATTTGTAAAGTAACGGGTCATTTCAAACTATTTTAAATTGGACAAAATGGAAAATGCAGTAAAATACAATCCTTAATTGTACATTTTACGTTCTGGGATGCCTCAATTCAATTTAAATACGTGACATTTATCACGTGCATTCAGCGATAAGTATACAGTCCAAGGGTGTTATATAAATTACAAGACCCTTAGTACACAATGGCTGAAAGACTTCTAAATCCCTGGGACCTGATCAGGTGTACCCTAGAACTCTGTGGAAATTTGGGGAAGGTGACTACTGGGTCCTTTGCTCAGATATTTGTATCATTGATAGTCACAGGTGAGTTGCTGGAAGACTGGAAGTTGGCTAACGTGGTACCACTATTTAAGAAAGGTGGTAAGGAAAAGCCAGAGAACTATAGACCAGTGAGCCTGACATCACTGGAGGCAATTTGTTGGAGGGAATCCTGAGGGACAGGATTTACATGTATTTGGAAAGGCAAGGACTGATTAGAGTTAGTCAACATGGCTTTGTGCATGGGAAATCGTGTCTCACTAACTCGAATGAGTGTTTTGAAGAACCAACAAAGAGGATTGTTGAAGGCAAAATGATGGACATGATCTATATGGACATCAGTAAGGCATTCGACAAGGGTATTCATGATAGACTGGTTAGCAAGGTTAGATTGCACGGAATACAGGGAGAACTAGCCATTTGAATGCAGAACTGGCTCAAAGGTAGGAGACAGAGGGTGGTGGTGGAGGTTTGCTTTTCAGACTGGAGGCCTGTGACCAGTGGTGTGCCACAAGGATCACTGCTGGATCGACTGCTTTTTGTCATTTATATAAATGATTTGGATGTGAACATAGGAGGTATGGTTAGTAAGTTTGTGGATGACAGCAAAAGTGGAGGTGTAGAGGACAGCCAAGAAGGTTACCTCAGATTACAATGGGACCTGGATCAGATGGGCCAATGGGTCGAGGCGTGGCAGATGGAGTTTAATTTAGATAAATGTGAGTTGCTGCATTTTGGAAAGGCAAATCAGGGCAGGACTTATACACTTAATGGTAAGGTCCTGGGGAGTGTTGATGAACAAAGAGATCTTGGAGTGCAGGTTCATAGTACCTTGAAAGAGGAATTGCAGGTAGATAGAATAGTAAAGGGTCATTTGGTATGCTTGCCTTTATTGATCAGCACGTTAAGTATGGGAGTTGGGAGGTCATGTTGCGGCTGTATAGGACATTGGTTAGGCCACTTTTGGAATACTGCATGTGATTCTGGTCTCCCTGCCATAGGAAGGACGTTGTGAAAGGATTCAGAAAAGACTTAAGGATGTTGCCAGGGTTGGAGGGTTTGAGCTTTAGGGAGAGGCTGAATAGGCTGGAGCTATTTTCCCTGGAGCGTCAGAAACTGAGGGGTGACCTATTAGAGTTTTATAAAATCATGAGGGGCATGGATAGGGCAAATAGCCAAGGTCTTTTCCCCGGGGTTGGGGAGTCCAAAACTAGAGGGCATAGGTTTAAGGTGAGAGGGGAAAGATTTAAAAAGGATCTAAGGGGCAACTTTTTCATGCAGAGGGTGGTACGTGTATGGAATTAGCTGCCAGAGAAAGTGGTGGAGGCTGGTACAGTTACACATTTAAAAGGCATCCGGATGGGTATATGAATAGGAAGGGTTTAAATGAATACGAGCCAAATGTTGGCAAATGGGACTAGATTAATTTAGGATATCTGGTCAGCATGGACGAGTTGGACCGAAAGGCCTGTTTCCGTGCTGTACAGTTCCAGGACACTATGACTGTATGGTTTGATTGTGGCCATTCCGAACTGTGCATTCGCAATGGCTACCTCAAGCTTTAGAGTATTTCTTAGCACACTGTCATGGACTTTGGAATGTGCCAGTCAGCAACACTTGGTTGAGGATGACATTTTATACTGAAAGACTAGCAAGATCTGGACAGACCATAGCGTGGCTTTCGCTGTGCTGTTGCTCCTCCAGCCACAGTTGGAGTTTGTCTTGTTGTGCATTGATGGGAACAGCCTGTGGAGCATCATGGGGGTGCTTTGGATGAACCTTGATATAAACCATTGCATCTATCTCTAGACTTTATTTGAAAAGGTATATTCCGCAAGGAGACGTGCAACAGCATCTTCACATCGACAGCTTTTTAATGCATAGAGAGAAAGGAATGGGTGAATGTATTTGTCCTTTTCTATTTACACCAAAAAGGTATATGCATCTTTACGCTGGCGACAACAGTTATGAGACAAATGCTATAGTCTTTGTCATGTGCTAGCTGGTAAACTGACTTTCAGTGTGTTCCGGTAGGTGCCAATCCGTGACAAGTCACTTTAAACAGTCTGGTCATATCTCTGATCACAGGATAATAATGAATGAGATAAGCCGGTCAATGCAACATCCATCCATTTTAGCTTTTTCTTTGGAAAAGAAAACTTTTCAGATTTTTAATCTCCTCTGCACTATCTGGAATTTTTGTCCACATCTTCATCACTTTTCATGTGAAGAAGAATTTTCTGACGTACTAAAAGAACCCTTTTTTAGTAATTTGTGTCCTTATCCCGACAGTTTAATTTGGAGCAATATTCTACATTAGCTTGTTTCTCATGTACCCCAAACTTTCCTGTATGTCGCCATAAGATCATCTCTCAATTACCTTCTCTGGGTGAAACGTACAATCTTCTCCAGTTTTTTTCTCACATTCTTCAAAGTGGAGTTTGTCTCTTCCTCTTCTCTGCACAGCGTGCAGCACCTGAATGTGTCTCTTGTTCCTTGACCACTCTATTTCACTATGATCTGACAATAGTACTGTAAAATTTGATTAAATATTAATCTATTGTTTTGCGTTATTTGATGACCTACATTGGCTCCCAGTCCAGCAATGTCTTGGTTTAAATTCTTATCCTTATTTCCAAATACACATCAGCTTCATTCCTCCTTACATCT